GAGGGGGGGGGAGGCGAGGAGGGAGGTGGAGATCAATCGGATGGGATATTCTAGACTTGGAATTGTTTTCCCATTCGAGGGCGCGCGGGAGGAATCGGGCTGCATTATTCAGTCTCGGGGCCGCCGCTCGGCGGATTCGCGTCGCGGCCGCTCCGTTTTCGCGCGATTTTTGCGCGCCGGCGCGCATTCCCGGCGCGCGGAGTGCACGTGCGGAGTCCGCACGGAGCGAGCGAGCGAGCGAGCGGACGCGCGAAGCCGGCCGCGATAATCCGATGGGGCTTATCGATCGGCACTCCGGTTGCCAAGTTGGCAGCGGCGGACTCCCGGAATTACGAATGAAATGCTCCACATAGCGACGCGGTTGGCAAATCAGATCCGCTTTCATACCTTTGCGAGGGAGGATACTGCGAATTCCGATTCACCGGAGGCCGCCGCGGAAGCGCATCGCTCGGCCGTCGAATGCCCGGCGACGAGAAGCGCCGCGAGACGGCCTTTCCTCCTCTCTTCCCTCTCTTTCTTTCTCTTGTCCTCCGTCTGTGCTCTTCTTTCCGCTGGCGCGAGGCCTTCCGAGGCCTCGAAATCGGTCTCGAAGACTCTGGCTTTAGTCGTAAGCGGGTTGGCAGGCCTTGGGCTGACTTAACACTTCGTTGCACGTTTTTTTCTAATGAATATGATTTGGTGAGACTTGTCGTTCGGGGATTTTTAGGGTCGTTGGATACAAATACCGGTGTGAAGAATACGAAATTCAAAATGGCGCATCCAATCCGGCGGACGAAAGTTTCAAAATCAGCCGAATTCGCTTGAAATTTGTTATTTAAGGGTCTTCGAGATTGCTAATTATGAATTCGTTGTCGAAAATTCGAAATGCCAGAACTATGTTTGTACACGGCTGGTAAGGTACGGTTGACACCGATTAGGTTGCCCGGGTTCTCAGGCGCAAGTTTTGAATTGTTTCATTTCTATAATTATGTTCGCCATATGAGATCCGTCAATTTGAATTTTGTATTTTCCACACCGGATTCGTAGTCAGCGACTTCGAAAACGCCCGAGTAACAAGTTTCAAGCGAATTCGATTGATTTTGAAACCTCCGCCATATCTCGGGTCCGCCATTTGGAATTTTTACACCGGATTTTATTTTTCACACCGGAAACGACAGTTCCGACAGCCAGAAACAACAGTTTTGTTCAGTATACGCTTATTAACAACAAATTACTCATTTTAAACGACTCTAGAAAAGTTGATGTACTTTTTAGATGTATGTATTAGTTAGAGGAACACATTTTATTAGTCCAACGAACGATACCAAACATGTTAAAGAAATATGTGAACAATTTATATTATTGAAAGAAACAAGCTTGTGGATGATAGGTGGCTAAATACATTCCGTGACTGATCAGCTGATCAATTATCAAGACGAGTAACAAACGAATCTGTCCATCTCTCCGTCTGATATTACAAAATTAATAGCTAAAACCAAGTTTGTCAAGAGAAAATGGCACACACGATCGTGAACGTGCAAGCGTGATCAGCTGATCAATCGCGGAACGTGTCCAAGTTGGTTCAAGGCCTAGCAACCTTGCAAGTAAGACCAGAGCCCCCGAAACCGATTTAGGATTTCGGAATAGGCCTCGCGTCTCTCCCATGTCGACGTGGGAAGTCGCGCGCGCATCAATTCTCCATTTTGTGAAGCGCGAACGTTTCCGCCGCGAGGAATCGAATTCGCCGAGCCGGCGAAAAATAATTTTCACATCGACCCCGTCCCCCTCCCCCCCCTCCTCCCCCCCATCTCCTCCGTTCTTTTCACGCGCACGGCCTCGCCGATTGAATCGCAGCGAAAGGGATGCGAGGTCGCACACGACGTCAAAGGGTTCAAGGGTTCGGCGAAGGGTTCGCCGCGCGACGGGATACAATTTTTTCTCCCCCTAACCCCCCTGCCTCGTCCCCTTCTCGGCCCGGTTGCTGGCCGTTGTTCGAGTTTCGGGATAAATCTCGGGCTGGAGGCACGAGGTGGATTTCACGCTGCCGTTGCGCGCTCGTCGCAGCAGCAGCAGCAGCAGCGTGTATTGTGGGCTGTACGCGCTTTCTAGCGGTCGCGATATTCTCTATTCGCTTGTTCCCTCCCTCATTCGGGTTCATGCTTAAAAACCTGTGGGGTCAGTGGTGCTCATTCGCCGCGCGCGCTGCCTCAGCGCGAGCGTGACGCAACGATTTCGAGTTGCACAACCTCGAGCGAACGGCGGCGGAGCGGAGCGGAGCGGAGCGGAGCGGAGCGGAGCGCGTCAGAGAATCGCTAAGCGGCGACTTCGCTCGGATCGAAAAATCGCACGGAGAATAAAGCGACGTAGACAGGCGAGCATCGCGACGTTCGCCCGCGGCGCCTCTTCTCTCCGCGCGACTGACGCACGTGGAGCGTAGATTACGGCTCTCTTCGTGACCGGGATCTCTCTCGATAAGTCGAGCGGACGGTCCGATAAAATTCTCCTGTCGCGTACGTGGATGCTCGACGACGGCGGAATGACCGCGTGACGTCGTACCGATTCACCGTGTCTCGTCTTCAGCTCCGCGAGCGAGCAGCGCGACTCGCAGGTCGGATTCGAAGTTTCTGGGTTAGCGCGAAGATTCACACTCTGGCAGGAAAGCAGAAACTGACACCCGTGTTCGCAGTCCTTCCTTGAGCATGAAATAAGGATTCCTTATTCCTCGTTTTCACAGAGCTTCCTTGAGCAAACACAAGCAGCTTTAGCGGCTGCCTTATCTCACGGGGAAGCTCCACGAGCTTCCTCGAGGAGGAAATGTTTAACCTTAAATCCGTTGGTTTTCGCTGCACTTCTGAACTGATGCACAAAAGTGCAATAAGTTCGCGCGCACTTGATGCGCGGAGTAAACTAAACATAACCTGCAACACTTACTTTTGTTCCCGTTACGATTTACTTGTGATGTCGCGCTTTCGAACTGAAAGTATATAAAGGAAAACCAGGATAATGGACAATGAATTTTTAAATGATTCTGATGGAGGATTTTTTTCCTTTTTTTCGATAACCTTTTCAGCGATAAGCCGCGCCAAGAGCACTCGCTCTTGCTCCGTATAATGTACGCTTTTATTATCTTTATCCATATTACACTGCTAAATTCATGCTAGGTTATAGCTGCGTTCCGATATTCACCGCTAGCACTAAAAATCTATAGCTCGTGTCGCGTATATTATAGAGTTTCAGTACTGACAGTGAATATCGGAACGCAGCCTTCCTACCTGCTCTGTCTTCTTTCTTTCCTTTTGGAAGGCAGACTCGAGATTCATTTATGAAATAAGGTGGCCTTGGAGATTCGAGGAATCCTTCATCAAGGCTCTCTCCATCCTTGAGATAAGGAAGGACTATGAATACGGGTATAAGAGAGTCTGTCTCTCTCGCAAGATTAGCGCGACTTCTGACTGGATGTTGCCTTTCCGCTTTCTGTGTTTTTGCCAAGTGTGCTTTTGCCACGAACCCACCCTAAGGGAGGATTCATACCTAGGCGGAAAAGCGGAAAGCAGAAAGGCAGTTGCCAAATCACAAATGGCGCTGACAGAGTCTGTCTCTCTCTTGCGAGAGGTTTTCTCTCTCTGTCACTCTCTCGATTGCTGCCTCCCTGCTTTCTCTTTTTCTACCCAGGTATGAACCCGCCCTAAGATTCTGACCTCCCGTGGTCCTTCCGGTACATAACGCGCAGGAAAGAATCTCGCATCGTCCCGAAATCCCGAAAACGAGCGAGTGGGCTAACAAACGCGACCTTATGCGGAGAGAGAGAGAGAGAGAGAGAGAGAGAGAGAGAGAGAGAGAGAGAGAGACGCAGAGTGCAAAAAGAGAGAAATTGGAGAGAAGCGAGCGTAAGGAGAGGCGACAAGCCCGAGAGATTAGCCGACTTTCCCGTCGAGTCGCTCGCCGAAAAGAGCGTCGCGGCTGATTTGACATCTCCCTCGCTCGCAGGTGCCGGTGTCTTCAGGAAAGGCGATAACAAATCCCCGGCAGCGTGGGGCAGCCGGAAGAAGAGGCACATTAGACTCAGTCGAGCCACTCAGGCCGAACTCTGAGATGCCTGATGCCGATTTCTTTTCAAACAGATCGATTCGAATCACGAAGAAAAGAATCGATCTTTAAAAGATCGGTTTGTAAGGAATCGATTTGAATCGGTATGCGTGTGAAAGTGAACCACTCATTAAAGTATACTATCTGTCAAATTTCTACACTCTAAAGTAGACCTCGTGTAATTCGTATGTAGTTTAATGCGAATTAAAGAAATTAAACAGATGGTACTCTTTCGGTTGTGTTGTGTGCGGCCGCAACGAGATAGAAAAAGATCTTTAAATCTTTACGCTAAGGATTTAATTGGGTTGATTAAACGTCGATCAAGGGTTTTCAAACGTTATTAAATAAGAAATCGCGTTTACTATTATATGCATATACATATGTATGTAATATATATTATTATATGGAGTGGCTGTGATTGGTTCGCGCGTTCCGTTTGTCGCCGAAAATTGTCGCCCACGGGACAACCGGCCTAAAGCCCGTGTCACACTACGGATCGGAGATCAAGGATTGCGGATTGAAGATTAGATTTCGACAAATCAACGAACTTCGGTCTTCGGATTCGCTTTATTCCGATTGGTCAAATTTCAATCTTCAATCCTCAATCCTTGATCTTCAATCCGTAGTGCGACACGGGCTTAAAGGTAAAGGTAATGTGCATCGTGCAGCCATGGAGTGAGTCAGAAAGAAAAAAAAACTATATTACTGGTAGAAGCTGAAAAGATCGTGTCGGCGATTTTCAGAATTTACAGCTCGATCCTCGATTCGATTCGGTCCCAGCAAATCGATCTGAAATCGATCGTTCATCCGCTCCGATTAATCGAACTTCGATTAAATCGATTTAAAATCGGCATCCCCAGGCTGAACTGCCTAATCTGCTGGCGCGAGGTCGACGATAATGGTGCGTCCACCTCTCGTGCGCGAGAGAGAAGCGATCCGAAGACCGAAGCGCGCGCGCGCGCGAGAGAGAGTCTCTCTCGACTCTCGGCAGACGAGCCCACTGCGAGAGAGCGAGCGTGCGTGCGTTCGTACCTCTCGGCGGGCGCTCTCAAAGTGCGCTTTGAGAGTCACTGGACACACACAGACGACCCGTATTCGGGACGCAGCTGCGGCCGCGAGCTGCCACCGCGCGTAGAGGACGCGTCACGTGACGAGGCGTCGCGGTGGGCGACGGCGGCTGGCGATTGGCCCGCGTGTCCCTACCCCGGAGCGGCGTCGCTCGAACAAAGAGACGAGGCTATCTCATTCGTCCCCGCGAGCGCTGCCATTAGAAAGTCGTCGGCAGTCGATGAGTGCAGGTGTCGTTCCGCGAGTTGAACCGGGCGAGAGCAGGAGCGAGTCGTTGTACGTGGAGAGGTTCCACTGAGCGGGTTTCGCGAGAAAGTTTGTCATCCGCTCGCGAGAGTCCGTCGCTTCGCTTCGGGAGGAGACGAGCGAGCGAGAGGAGAGAAAGACAGTGAGTGAGAGAGGAAGAAGAAGGAGCACAGAGAGAAGCGAGCTCTCAGCCCTCAGGAGGATCCGGGTGCGCGCGAATCGCACGGGCTCGCGGCTTCCGAGCGGGTGAGGAGCACGAGGACGAGGAGGAGGTGGAGGAGGAGGAAGAAGAAGAAGAAGAAGAAGAAGAAGAAGAAGAAGAAGAAGCAGCCGAAGCGTCGCGGCGAAGAGGCTCGCAGCGGACGCACGCCGCGCATACGCTCCCGTCCGGGAGATCGATCCTCGCCGGCGCCGACGACTACGACGACTACGACAAGTACGACTACGACGACGAAGACGACGACGACAACGACGACGACGACGACGACGACGGCGGCACTGACGCGCCGTACTCCCGTCGCACCGTCGCCGACGAGAATCCTCGACGAGGGACGCCCCGGCGGTATCGCTTTTCGCGCTGGAGCGTCGACGACCGAGTGCGAGTGCCGCCGCCGCCGCCGCCGCCGCCGCAGCCGTAGAGCGCTACGCAGCGACGTGGCGACGACGCCATTTTGTAAGTGATACCGTACTGCGCTTCTTTCGGCATCAGCAGCGTCGTCGTCGGGCAGCCTACTCGTCAGGGCCGCGTCGTGATCCGTGACACGCGCGTATCTCCGATCGCGTTCGCCAGTGTGTAATCGAGTTTACGACGCGGAGCACCTCGCCGCCTGGAGAAGCTCGCCGCCGCGGCTTCCGGCTGAGCGACAGAGACAGTGACGTGCGTCCGAGTAAGAGGAGGAGGAGGAAGAAGAAGAAGAAGAGGAAGAAGAAGAAGGAGACGACGACGACGACGACGACGGGGAGCGCGCTCCTCGCTCGGCTGTCCTCGTAGCCGAGCAACGGCAGCGGCATCAGCAGCAGGGTATTATCATCAGCAGTAGCAGCAGCAGCAGCAGCAGCAGGCCGGCAGACTAGAAGAGGCTGCCCCGTCGGCCCCTTTCGCAGCAGCAGCAGCAGCAGCAGCAGCAACAGCATCGTGTTCGCCCTGGGTCTCCCGACGCGTCGGCATCGTCGTCGTCAAGCATGAGACTGGAAATTGTGTCGGCGGCGGACTTCCTGGTGCACCTGCTGCGCCTGCAGGCGGGCCAGCTGTCGGAGCGGCAGCTGGAGATGTTCAAGTCGTCGTTGACGGAGGTGCTGCGCCATCGCTACCGCGACCACTGGTTCCCGGACCGGCCGAACCGCGGCTCCGGCTACCGCTGCATCCGCATCAACGGCAAGATGGACCCGGTGATCGCCCAGGCGGGCGCGAACGTCGGCCTCCTGCCGACCGTGCTCCACAGCCTCTTCCCCAGCGAGCTCACCATGTGGATCGACCCGTCGGAAGTGTCGTACAGGATCGGCGAGAACGGTTCCATCTGCGTGCTCTACGAGCGCACCGAGCCCGAGCCTGACGAGATGATGAGCTCCCAGCAGCAGCAGCAGCAGCAACAGCAGCAGCCGCAACACCATCACCACCAGGTGCAGCAGCATCAGCAATCACCGTTGGCGCAGCCGTCGCTGTCGCAGCAGCAGCAGCAACAGCAACAACAGCAGTTCGAGAGCTGCAAGGACTCGCTGTTGCTGGAGCACACGCAGTTCAGCGAGCAGATCGCAGCGTTCGTCTCCAGCTGAACTGCTGGTCACCTCACCGCTCGCATCCACGCTCTCGAAGTAATCATCTAAGCGCACGTGCGTCGTCGTCTCGTGATATGTGATATCCCTTCGCGCCGGCCCTCGGACCTGGCCCGCGCGCCCTCAACTTTTTTCGTGGACTCTACACACCCACACAGACATACACACACACACGCACACACGCACACCCGGAGGCACACAGACAGCGTAGGCGCGCTCTCGCGCGTCTTCCCCTCGCCCTTCTCCCAGGACCCTCGTGATTTTCTCCGCTCTCCCAAGAGTCCTCATGGAAACCAGCAGAGTCGGTTAGCTCCGTCTCGCTGCTCTTCTCACAGACCCTCTTTTTCTCTCTCTCTCTCTCTCTCTCTCTCTCTCTCTCTCTTTCTCTCTCTTTCTCCGCCCTTTTCATCCTTCCCCCTCCCGCTGTCGCCGCCTCTCCCGGACACAACGGAGTTTGGTGAAGAGACGGGTCGTAACGTGTTGGTCCCTCCGTCGAGCGAGTTCTCATTGCTGGCAAAGAAGAAAAGAAGAAGAAGAGGAGGAGGAGGAGGAGGATGAAGAAGAAGAAGAAGAAGCAGAAGAAGAAGAAGAAGAAGAAGAACCACCCTGCGGGAACCCGAGCTTGTCCACGAGCACGACTCTAGTCCAGCGGAGGACAGTCGCGGGCGGGAGAATTCGGAGAGTTTCGTCGTCCGGAAGCGCGCGCGCGCGCGCGCAGGAGTGAGAAGAAGAGAAGAAGAAGGTCCCCGAGATGGCAGCGTCGCGCGGAGGAGTCCAGCGGCGGGCCAGTCGATTCTCTTCAAGTCCGGCCGCCGCCGGCGAGTCGATTCTTCTTCTCCCGCCGTCGGGGAAGCGACGGCCGTCGCTGCGCGAGTTTCGGAGCAGCTGTGGCGAGCTCAAGACCAGGCCCCCCCCCCCGCCCGCGGGCTGTCTCTCTTTCTCTCTGCCTCTGGTGTGCGTGTGTCTATGTGCGTGTCTCTCTCTGTCTGTCTCTCTTTCTCTCAGCCCGACCAATTGATCTCAACGTCTCCTCTCCACCCGCGCGTCTCCGAGTGTCTCCCGTGAGCAGGAGCAACCAAGAACAGCCAGCCTCGTCGGCCTTCCGTTATCGCCGAGTTCCCGACGGAGTGAAGCTGAACCATTCTCGCATGTTATGTCGCGTATACACGCGCACACACACACACACACACGCATACACACATACAGATAGACAGACAGCCTCTTTGTCTCCCCGCCCCGTGCGAGCAGAGCAGTCTCTTCTTCCACGTATTCTTGGTCGTAGAACGCTTCTTCGACCTGCGAGAGCTTGAAGGTTTGTACACACCGGTGGCGATCGAGATGCGACGCAGAAGCGAGCGAGCGTTTGCCGACGCACAGAGAGAGAGAGAGAGAGAGACTGCTTACGGTTTCGGGTCTTGCGCGATTTCGCGTTTGTCGCGCGGCTGAAGCAACGGGACGACCGTTCTCTTCGTGCTCGCTGTTGTCGTCGTCATCGTCATCGTCGTCGTCGTCGTCGAGGATCTTCCTCGAATCTCACTGTCAATTTCTCACTGTCAATGCAGATTACCACCGAGCCACGCACACACTTGTAAAGGAAAATCAAGGCGCATACACACACACACACACACACACACACACGTACACACGGTGATACTCGACGCATGAAACCGGTCGACTCGTCGTGTTCAATCCTTCGTCAACGTCAATTTCGCCCGAATGTCAAACGCGAAAGTAAGCAGACGTTGCATTCATCCGACGCGACTCGCCTGCGAGAGAGGAGAGCGTCGCTCGCGCATTCGGCGAAATTGCGTTCGCGACGGCCGCCGAAATTTCGATTCCCGAAGCCTTCCGCGAGGACTCCATTCGAAAGCGATTCGCCGCCGGGCGGAATTGTCAAGTTCAAGTTTTCAATGTGCATAAAACACACACACACACACACACACACACACATACATACACGCAGACACGAGTTTCACTAGAGCGCGCGAGTTTATATATGTACATATATATATAAATATATATATAGACGTTATGTATATGTAGAACACCGTGACACGCACGGTCGAGGGAGAAGCGCGCGGAGGGGCGAGGGGGGAGGGGGCAGCAGCAAAGTCAAGCCCGGGCGTGTACACAGTGAGACGAATTGTACATTATCTTTCGCGTGAGAGAGGAGACGAAGGAAAGCGGGAGAAAACACGACGGCGCGTATATAAAATTGCTGTGATTTTATCCGCGGGAAGGCACACGCGGGCATGTTTTTACTATCGAGAGAGTCGCTCTCGGAGAGTCAAGCTCGATGCACTGTGTGTGTGTGTGTGTGTGTGTGTGTGCGTGCGTGTGTGTGTGTGTGTGCGTGTGTGTGTGTGTGTGTGCGTGTGCGAGGTTGATTGGGTTTTTCGGCAGTGTGTGAGTGTCTGTGTTGTGTGTGCGTGTGTGTGTTTGTGTGTGTGTGCGGGAATGACTCCGTGAGAGAGAATGATTGGCCGCGTCTGCCGCTGCTAAGACTGCCGCTCGGCCGATCGCGTTTGCTCGCGCGCCGCTCCGACAATAATAGCCGAGTTCGCTCGATTAGTCACGTTTCTGCTTCGTGCTCGCTGCGTCGACGTTTGTTCAATTACCGTTACTTGACGAAACCGATACACTCGCCGATGTCGGCGGAGAGAGAGAGAGAGAGAGAGAGAGGGAGGGAGGGAGAGGAGGGCCATGAGATCCCGACGCGTCGCTGAGTCTCTCTCTCTCTCTCTCTCTCTCTCTTTCTTTTCTTCCGTGACTCTCACCTGTCGACTGCACTCGCCGAATCGGAATCGCCGAGCGTGAATATTTCATTGCGCGCGTAATCGAGATACAG